TAAAGAAAAGCCCAGGACCAGATAGCTTCACTGATGAAGACTTTAAGAGTGTACCATGCTTTTAAAGAACTAATTTCAATCATTTTCAAGCTATTCAAAACAATTGAAAGGGAAGGAATCCTCCCAAATTACTTCTAGGAGGCCAGTCAGCATCACCTTAATTCCAAAAATAGAAAAAGATACAACAAAGAAAGAGAACAATAGACCAATATCCCTGATGAACATAAATTCAAAAATCCTTCACAAAATGCTAGCCAATAGAATCCAACAGCACATCAGAAAGATCATTCACCAGACCAAGTGGGATTCATCCCTGGTATGCAAGGATGCTTCAACATTCACCAATCGATAACTATCACACTTCACCAAAAAAATTCAAGATTGAAAACCATATGATTATCTCAATACTCAAAGAAAGCATTTGATAAAATACAATATCCTTTCAGGACAAAAATCTTAAGCAAATTGGGTATAAAAAGAATATTCTTTAACAAAACTAAAGCAATGCATGACAACCCACAGCCAGCATTATATTGAATGGGAAAAAATTGGAAACATTGCATCTAAATCTGGAACCAGACAAGGATGCCCACTCTCACCATTGCTATTCAGTATAATCCTGGAAGTTTTGGCCAGAGCCATTAGGCAAGAAAAGCAAATCAAAGGGGCACAAACTGGAAAGGAGGAAGTCAAACTGTCCCTGTTTGCAGATGACATGATTCTATGGATAAGGGATCAAAAAGACTCCACTGAAAAACTATGGGAACTCATAAGAGTTTGGTAAAGTGACAGGATATAAAATGAATGCACAAAAACTAACAGCCTTTGTATATACAGATATTGCCTTGGCTAAGAAAGAACTTGTAAATTCAGTGCATTCACAACAGCTTCAAAAAATTTTTAAATAACTTGGAATCCATTTAACAAAGGAGGTGAAAGATCTCTACAATGAAAATTACAAAACTTTAAAGAAATAAATAGAAGAAGACACAAAAAAGGAAAAATCTTCCATGTTCATGGTTGGAAGAATAATTATCATCAAAATGTACATAATAACAAAAGCAAATTACAGATTCAATGCAATCCCAATCAAAATACCAACAGCATTCTTCTCAAATCTAGAAAAAGCAGTGGTGAAATTCATATGGGAACATAAGAGAACCCAAATATCTAAAAAAAAAAATCTTAAAAACCAAAACAAAGGCAGAGGCATCACACTACCAGATTTCAAGATGCTACAGTGCAGTTATAATCAAAACAGCCAGCTACTGGCACAAAAATAGACATGTAGACCAACAGAACAGAATAAAATCTCCAAAACTCAATCCATACACCTACAATGAACTAATCTTTGACAAAGGAGGTAAAATCAATCTCTGGAGAAAGGAAACTCTTTTCAACAAATGGTGCTGGGAAAATTGGATCTCTGCATGCAGAAGCATGAAACAAGACCCCTACACACCTCATGCAAAAATCAATTCAAGGGGCCAGCACAGTGACGCACTAAGTTAATCCTCCATCTGCAGCACTGACATCCCATATGGGCACTGGTTCTAGTTCCGGCTACTCCACTTCCTATCCAGCTCTCTGCTATGGCCTGGGAAAGCAGTGAAAGATGGCCCAAGTGTTTGGGCCCCTGCACCCACATGAGAGACCCTGAGGATTTCCAGCCATTGTGGACATTTGGGGAGTGAACTAGCAGACGGAAGACCTCTTTCTCTTTTTTACTCTCTCTCTCTCTCTCTCTCTCTCTCTCTCTATCTCTATCTCTTCCTCTGGGTGTGTAACTCACTGTCTGTAACTCTACCACTCTAATAAATAAAATCTTCTTAAAAATCAATTCAAGATGGATCAAGGATCTAAATCTATGACCTGATACCATCAAATAATTAGAGAACAATGGAGAAACTCTGCAAAACATTGTTATAGGCAAAAATTTCTTGGAAAAAATCCCAGATGTGCAGACAATCAAAGCCAAAATTGACAGATGGGATTACATCAAGCTAAGAAGCTTCTTCACTGCAAAGGAAATACTTAACAAAGTCATGAGGCAACCTATAGAATGGGAGAAAATATTGGCAAATATTTGCAGACTATGAGACTGATAAAGGATTGATATCCAGAATCCATAAAGAACTCAAAGAAACTAAAAAAAAAAAAAAAAAAGCAATCCAGTTAGGAAATGAACAAAGAACTTAAATGGTCATTTTTCAAAAGAGGAAATGCAAATGGCCAACAGACACGTGAAAAAATGCTCAGGATCATCAGCCGGCGCCATGGCTCACTAGGCTAATCCTCCACCTGCGGCACCGGCACCCCAGGTTCTAGTCCCGGTTTGGACCCCTGGTTCTGTCCCAGCTGCTCCTCTTCCAGTCCAGCTCTCTGCTGTGGCCCAGGAAGGCAGTGTAGGATGGCCCAAGTGCTTGGGCCCTGCACCCACATGGGAGACCAGGAGGAAGCACCTGGCTCCTGGCTTCAGATCAGTGTGGTGCGCCAGCCGCAGCACGCCGGCCGCAGCGGCCATTGGAGGGTGAACCAACAGAAAAAGGAAGACCTTTCTCTCTGTCTCTCTCTCTCACTGTCTAACTCTGCCTGTCAAAAAAAAAAAAATGCTCAGGATCACCAGCCATCAGGGAAATGAAAATCAAAACCACAATGAGTATTCATCTCACTCCAGTTAGAATGGCAAACATATAGAAATCAACAAACAATAAGTACTGGCAAGGATATGGGGGAAAAGGTACTGTCATTAGGAATGTAAACCAGTACGGCCATCGATGAAGACAGTATGTAGATATCTCAGAAATCTGAAAATAGATCTACCATATGACCCAGCAATCCCACTCCTGGGAATTTAACGAAAAGAAATGAAATCAACATATGAAAGAACTATCTGTTCTCTCATGCTTATTGCAGCTGAATTCACAATAGCTAACATATGGAATCAATCATAAGATTTCTATTAGCTGAAGACTGGATAAAGAAATTGTGGTAAATATACATTATGAAATACTACTCAGCCTTAAAAAAGAATGAAATCCTGTCTTTTGCAATAAAATGGATGGAATGGGAAATCATTATACTCAGTAAAATAAGTCAGTCCCAAAAAGACAAGTACTACATGTTTTCCCTGATCTGTGGTAACTAAGAGTACAAAAAAGTAATGTATATGAGCACAACTGACATTTCGAGATTTGATGATTGTTTATAGCCCTTGTCTGTACTGTTGAGAAACAGTGTTTATTTCTTCTTACTGTTTGTTGATTTACTTAGTGTAGTGTTAATCTTTTTTTTTTCTAAGATTTTTTTATTTATTTGAAAGTCAGAGGTACACAGAGAAAGAGAGAGAGAGAGAGGTTTTCCATCCGATGATTCACTCCCCATCTGACTGAGCTGCATCAATCCGAAGCCAGGAGCCAGGAGCTTCTTCCGGGTCTTCCACGTGAGTGCAGAGCCCAAGCACTTGGGCCATCCTCCACCACTTTACCAGGCCACAACACAGAGCTTGATAGGAAGTGGAGCAGCCAGGACTTGAACCAGCACCCATATGGGATGCTGGCGCTCCAGGTCAGGGCCTTTACCCTCTGTGCCACAGTGCCAGACCCAGTGTAGTGTTAATATTATGAGCACAAGCTAAACTGAAAGTAGAGCACTGAAAAAATTAAAAGAAAGAATAAGAAAAGAAGGAGGAGGGAGATTGTGAACATGGCAAGAAGCGAGGGTTGAATGTGGGGGTGATAGACATAACGATGGTGTGATCATTACACATTGTCTCCAGGCATTGAAACGTCAAACTGCACCCCACGTACATGTACAATCACTACATGTTAAGTAAACAACAGAACCAGATGCAGGAAACAGGTTTGGTGAGTCCTCTGCATAAACTGGAAACAAAACCCCACAAGAAGTATTCAAGGAGCTCTGGAACCAACCAGCATCCTAATGAATGGGGAAAAGCTGGAACCATTCCCACTAAGATCCAGGACCAGACCAGGATGCCCACTCTCACCATTGCTATTCAACATAGTCCTGGAAGTTTTAGCCATAGCCATTAGGCAAGAAAAACAAATCAAAGGGATACAAATTGGGAAGGAGGAAGTCAAACTATCCCTATTTGCATATGATATGATTTCATATATAGAGGATCCAAAAGACTCCGCTAAGAGACTCTATAAGAAACTCTATAAGAGAGTTTGTTAAAGTGGCAGGATATAAAACTAACAAGCAAAAATCAATAGGCTTTTATATATAGACAATGCCACAGCTGAGAAAGAACTCCTAAGATCTATCACATTCACAATAGCTACAAAAAAAAAGTGAAATACTTTCGAATAAACTTAACTTCTGAATAAACATCTCCCATCTCCCTCTGTGCACTACCAGCCACCTTGGGTTAAATTTTCACTTAGATAAATCTTCCCAACTGTATATAAAACAATTTGTATTGGAGCCAGTGCTGTGCGTAGTAGGTAAATCTGCCGCCTGCAGTGCAGGCGTCCCATATGGGCACCTGTTCAAGTCCTGGCTGCTCCACTTCCCATCTAGCTCTCTTCTATGGCCTGGGAAAGCAGAAGAAGATGGCCCCAGTGCTTGGGCCCCTAAACCCACATAGGAGACCTGGAAGAAGCTCCTGGCATTCGGCTTTAGATCTGCATGGCTCTGGCCATTGTGGCCATCTGGGAAGTAAACCAGCAGATGGAAGACAGCCCCCACTCCGTAACTCTGTCTTTCAAATAAATAAATAGATCTTTAAAAAAAAAAAACAATTTGTATCCCTAAGCCACAAGACATACACCTGTTTAGGATCGCACTGTATTTGGAGACTCTTGATGTCATTTAGAAACGAACTTGGGGAAAACACTGGACTCCAAAGATATGGAAATCAATAATTTTTTTAGAAATTCAGTTTCAGGGTCAAATTACGCAAAATGCCCATAAGAGACATATATATCCTGCTATCAGAAGCTAGTATCCTTACAGTAATGAACCTGTATCCTTACTGTAATTTCTCACTGAGTTCCACAACTTTCTTCTTTAGTTCCTGGTTCTCTTTTGTTGTAGTCTGAACTGTGATTTCTGTTCTGATTTTAGACGTGGCAAGTGCTGCTGATTCCTCCTCTAGCTCCTGCACTCTGTCTCGCAAAGAGGTGAGGAGGGATGACTTTCTGGCATTGTTTTCTTTATAGCTCTCCATTTCAGCTTTCAACTCTTTAAAAGAAACTTCTTTAGAAAGCATCTTGGATCGGAGGTCTCGGAGCTAACATGAAAAGTAAAAAGAAAAAAAAAGAGCAAAGGAATGTGACAGTATATGCTTCACGTACCTTTAAGAAACACAAAACCCCAATTTAAATTTTCAATTTTTTTATTCAAGACTTAATCCAACTGTATTTTCTTTTTTTCATATTTGTAACTAAATAATATAGTTCATATTTTTAATGCCATTTTTATTCTATTTTCATCTACTTGAAAGGAAGAACAGTACAGAGAGAAAAACAGACATATCTTCTATCCATTGGATCAATTCCCAAATGCCTCCAACAGCCGGGGCTGGCCCAGGCCAAAGCCAGGAGCCAGGAACTCCGGACGGGTATCTCCGGTGGGTGACAGCGACCCAAGTACTTGATCTGTCATCTGTTGACTCTCAGGATGCATTAGTAGAGGAGCCAGTACCTTTTGATATGGGATTCAGGCAACCCAAGTGCAGTTTAACTGTTTGCACAACAACGCGTGTCCCAGATTTCATATTCAGTCTTGTTCAAAACCAACTGCACAATGTTTGGTTGACTCAGTCTCATTCAGGAGACATTTGTTGTGCATATTACAAAAAGCAACGAAATATGTTGCAATGCTCACCTATTTCCTAAATCTGTTTTGCTGCTGATAAACAATGAAACATGGATCCTATAAGACACACTATTTGTGATTTCCTGTGATTTCCACAACTATTCCCCAAGTAAATACAGGCTATTTAGTGTATCAAAAAGTTTCTCCCATTTGCCTTCTGGACTATAATTGTGAGTGATAAAAAAATACATATTTACACTTCTGAGAAAGACATTGGAAAAAGGAAAAATCCTTATAGCACTTGTACAAAAGAAACATTTTAACTTTTATAAATTCTGTAGTATCAAAATGCTGAGCAATGTAAAACGTTCTTCAAAAAGTTAGTGGGAAAATGGATCAAAAGGTAAGTGTTAGGGGCAGACATTTGCCTGCAGTTAAAAGACCAGTCGAGATGCCCACATCCCATATTGGATTGTCGGGGTTTCAGTTCTGGCTCCACTCTCAAGTCCAGCTCCCTGCTAGTGTGCACTCTGGAAGGCAGTATGTGATGGCTCAAGTGCTTGGGTCCTTGCCACCCACATGTCAGACCTGGATTGAGTTCCCAGCTCTTGCTCAACCTGCCTGGGCCAACCCCAGCTATTGCAGGCGTTTGGGGAAGTGAAACCAGTGGATGGGGAGCATGTTCATTCACCTCTCTCTCTCCCTCTCTCTCGGTCCCCTGGCTCATGAATGAATCAATCAATCAATGAATAATTTTAAAGGATAGTTTCATTTCAGTACAAAAAAAATTTAAATCTACACATGCAAATGACCTTCAGAAAGTTTCTTAATGCATGTAGTGCTTTGGGACAGTGAGTGTGCATGCACACATTTGTTCATAAACTCACACATATCAGCTGTAGTGAGATTGATATAATCTCACAGGCCAACCTAGTTCTCCTCAGGACCACCAGGCCATGAGCATAATAAGGCTATGAAGAATCTCTCCAAAGCTCCACAATAGGCCTGCTGGAGCCCAGAGCACAGGTGGACCCCAGTTATCTTCCCAGAAGCTCCCCAACTGGTCAGCACTACCACAGGAAAGAAATTCAGAATTCCTCCTAAGAACGCCAGGCTGTAGGCAATCAACATTAAAAGGGTGTTCTGCCGGCACCGCGGCTCACTACGCTAATCCTCCACCTGTGGCACAGCACACCGGGTTCTAGTCCCGGTCAGGGCGCCGGATTCTGTCCCGGTTGTCCCTCTTCCAGGCCAGCTCTCTGCTGTGGCCCGGGAGTGCAGTGGAGGATGGCCCAAGTCCATGGGCCCTGCACCCATATGGGAGACGAGGAGAAGCACCTGGCTCCCGGCTTCAGATCAGTGCAGTGCGCCGGCCGCAGCACGCTGGCCGCGGTGGCCATTGGAGGGTGAACCAACGGCAAAAGGAAGACCTTTCTCTCTGTCTCTCTCTCTCTCTCTCACTGACCACTCTGCCTGTAAAAAAAAAAAAAAAAAAAAGGGTGCTCTAAGAGGTCTTAAAATTCTCCAAGACCCACGAGCTTCAACCCAAGACCCTCAAGTGCAACTCACATCTCTCAAGGCCGTAGAGCCCCTCTGTGATCTAGGCACCAGCCCAAGTCACCCTGCAACCACACACTAGGGAACCTATTTTTCCCTACCGAGGGCTATTTGGATATTTACAACATCATCTGCAGCCCATACAAAATATTCAACTTAAAAGTTAACTTGCTATAGATTTATTGAATTTCAAGTCCCACCGGGTCAGACCAGATGATTTTGCAGGCTTTATACAGCCTGTGTGCGGATGTTCCCGATCTCTGGAACCCCTTAAGAATTACAGCGGATGGGCACACTGTAAGAGAATAGGCGTGAATCTTTGTGTTACAGTCCTGTTCCTAATCCCCTCCGCTCTGCTTCATTTTACAAGAATCTAGAAAGGCCGATTCCAGGTGATGAGCATGCGTAACCTTACCTCACTCTGAGCGCACTCGAATTTGACCAAAGTCGCTGCAAGTTCACTGTGAGCATTTTCAGCCACATTCCGATAATGGTTTAATTGCTCCCGAGAGACCGGGATTTCCAAAAGATGATCGTAAGTTTTCTGGTAGAGTTCCCCAAAAGACAAAATATAAAGAAGAATGTTAAACAGTCTTTGCTGTGCAGCTGTGCAAAGACAAAAACAGTCTGTGTAAACCAAATGAGTCAAAAATACTACCCATAAATGTGTTGTTTTCAGATCATTTCGTTTTCATTCTCAAAACTCAGAGGCAGCCCAGGAACAAACCACATGCTCTTTCAGGATGGTGGTGGGATTTCACATTTAAGCCTTCTTTCACCCAACTCAGGCACTATTTAACTTCTTCCCAGAACAGGAAGCGTCAACAAGGAACTATATCCTGTGTAAGCAGGAGACAGTTTTTATTGTTTGTCTGTTTACAGACTACACAGATGATCAACTCTCCTGTTGTCTGTTGAGTACAGTGTCTTGTTAGCTAACCAAAGGGCTCACAAGAATTTAATGGAAAAGGATGCCTCCTTCATGACGATTCGTGGTGCCTTTTCTCCTCCATCTCATGTCCCCTCCTTGGGCCATGAAGGTGATTCACAGGAACGCATGAGATTGGAGGCTATGTGGGGATGCAGGGCCAACTCCTACACCATATAAAAGGGAACAGCTCCACAGATGGTGCCCCCAGTAGAATAAGGATCCCAGCCAGGCCAAATCATTCCAGTTTTTTAAAGACAAGTCATATGTCCAGATTGAAGTAAAAATTCCCAGTTTTTGTAGCTTGAAAACTAATTTAAGTGTTTTCTAAAAACACCATTTGATCCAAATAAACACACCTGCAGAGCAGATTTGGAGGACTGGGCTGTGGGTCACAGTCTGCAACCTCTGTTTCTGTTTCTGTGCTATGCAGGCCATATGCCTACATCCTTCCAGAATTATTCCCTACTTTGGACAAATACCCACATTCACTTCTACAAATATCCAGGCATGGAGTCTTTGTGAAAAACAGATAAGAAAGCCACTCAGTTTTGAAGGATCAGGCAAGAGGTCACACAAAGGTGTATTTCCTGGAATATCTCAGTGGCCTCAGGCAACACGTCAGTAAAACTGGCTTATAACTGTCAAAGGTTACTCAACTGCCAGCAGCTACTGTGTGAGATACTCAGGAATGCAAAAGTCATCTTAGAGCCCTTAACTGGACAACAAGCTTTGTCATAGTATGTTGCAATCACAAGTTGCCTAACAAAACCTCAGGGCACCTAGTAACCGCCAGTGTTTGCTGATCACAGCACATCCAAGGGGATGGTAAATAAGTACTCCTGGGAGAAAGTGCAAGAGGGTTAACGGACTCCCTCACTGGAGCTGCACATCCTGTTCAACCCCACTCAGTATTCACAAGGGTCCTTGCCACCCCAACCGCCACAGCTACAGTGTCCAAGGGGGACCATGTGGAGACACAGGTCACTCAGCACAGGACTGAACTGCAGGGTATGTGGTGCAGCGTTTCACAACGTTCATTAGGGAAGCAAGCTCCTCCACAGCTGTGATTCTTTCTTTCAATGACTGATATCTTTTTTAAGGAAGTTACATAGTCATACTATTGAGGTACGAAGATAGATATTATCCTAAAGGGGCCAGAGGAAAACAAAGCCCCTGTGGAAAGCAATGCAGCAGCCATGGAAGCACCAAGAATTTTACACCACACTACAGAGTCCTGCCCGCACTTCAGTAATTTCACAGGTGGCCCCAGCCTTTATTCCAAGAAAAAAACTCGCGGAGAATCCTCTCTGCTAAGCAGGCCACCAAGTCTGATGACACCGGGAAACAAAACCTTGGGAGGGACTTCCCCAATTTCACACCGAGGAAGTCCTTTGTTCAGGAGAAAAGGGTGGGGTGAAGGCATGGCAGGAGGGCTAGACCCCTTTCCCTATAAACCACTGTCTGAATGTAGGCTGGGCACCCTCTCCCTCAGATTCGGCTGAACAGGTGCCCATTCATTCCTACAGATGCCCCGCCTCAGCAAACCTTGCTACCTTGCTTACTGCTACTCTCTGTCACATCTGAAATTATTCTTCTTACAATTCCAGCCATCTGCAGTAACAACACCATCATTCGGACCCCCTTTGTATGAAAAATTTATTTTCTCTATTGAATATAATATTAAGAAATAGACAAGACAGTTCAGAAATGCCCTTCACTGGGGCTGGTGTTGTGGCGTAGCAGATAAAGCACCACCTGCAATGCCTACATCCCGTATGGGCACTGGTTCAAATCCCAGCTGTTCCATTTCCAATCTCGTTCCCTGATAATGTGCCTGGGAAAGCAGCAGAGGATGGCTCACATCCTTGGGCCTCTGCACCCACGTGGGAGACCAGGAAGAAGCTCCTGGCTCCTGGCTTCAGACTGCCCAGTCCACCATTGCAGCCATTTGGGGAGTGAACCAACGGATGGTTCTCTCTCTCTCTCTCTCTCTGTAATTCTGCCTTTCTAATAAATAAATAAATCTTTTAAAATGTGAATGAATTTAAAAATTCAAAAAAGAAATACCCTTCATTTTAAGAGATTATAGTCTAATGCAGAACAGTGCCATCTTCAAATGCTCACAGATGGTCTTGTCACTGCAGCAGGGCCAGGAGGACTCTTGGTTCCTGAGTTGAGAAGACAGCTGCTAGGTCTTAACTACTCTTCACGGTCCAGCAGACCGGAGACCATTCACCAACCAGCATGTACTGAGGCTTACCTGGGCCAGACACTGAGCTTGCACTGCAGTAAGGGAAAGAGTGCTTGTCAGACAACACCACTCATGAATGCATAACTACAAACTGAAATAAATGCACAGAAAGGAAAAGCAGATGGCAGAGGAAACTGACTCAAGATGGGGGGGGGGGGTGTGGAAAGAAAGGGTTCTCTAAAGAAGTGATGATTAAACAGGAATTAAATAGGCAAGGGGTATTAAGACAGGAGCAGCATATGTCATTCAGGTAGCAAAAAGGCCGTGCATGGGCCCTGTAGCAGGACTACAACCTGCATGGCCAAGGATCTGAGAGAACATGGTGAGGTCAGGAGACAAAATCAGGTGACAGATAGCAGCAGCAGAGCCTGAAAGACTGTGCCCAGCTGATTCATGGATTTTAGGATCTGGTAGGGTTTCCTTTCTAGAATGTTCTTGGCTGTTGTTACTTGTTCATTTTACCACCTGAAATTCAGAATCAGTTTGTCAAATTCCAAAACAGCCTGTTAGTGTTGTCATTGGGATGATGTTAATTGTATAAGCTTATGAAGAATTAACTTCTTGTAAATATTGAGTCTTCCAACTAAAATAATTTTGTCCTATTAGTTCAAGAAGCCAAGTAGCAACTTGGAAGTATTATATTTTGTGGTTCATCTTTAAAGATATTATTTTTGTTGGTACTATTAATGGAATCTATATATTCCAGTATGTTGAATATGCACCTGGATAGCTTTTTGATATTTCTTATTCTTTGGGATATTTTTCAATTGATTCTCCTGGATTGTGCACTGTAAACATGCCAGTCATCTATAAATAATTTCATCCCCTGATTTCTCATTTTTATAATCCTAATTTTTTCTTAATAACCCTGGAGAGGAAAGAGTTAGGGATAAAACAGCAGAGGAAACTACACAAGTTGGGGTAACCCAGTGGACCTGCATGGAGGGCGAAGATGTGCACAACTTAGGGCTCCAGCAGCCAAGAGCCTTCACACCAGCACTGAAGACTGAGGTGGGACCAGACTGCAGCAGCCCAAGCCACTGGAGAAAAAGCTGCAGGAAAAGCCTGGAGCGAACCCAGCTTGGAACCCTGTGGGTGACAGTGTACCTGCCCAACCAGAAGAGAAAAGACAAAGTGGGGCACATTTTCTCTCTCCCGATCACCCTGCAAAGGTGAGCAGGTGCCATTTTGGACAGACTTAACAGCTGCACCAGCTAGTGTCCATGCCCAGCAACCAGCCAAGCGGAGACTCCTGAGTCTGGTGGGGAGAACAGACAGGGGACTGGGTGCTCCTGACTGTGGGAGGTTTGAGTGCTGAGACTGTGAAACACTGAGGCTGTGTGAGAGGACTCTGGGTGTGGCTGGGACATCGGGCAGTCACTGTGAGAGGCTCTTAATGATCGGCGCTGCCTGGTTACCTGGTGAGGAACACTGCTGAGGAATCTGAGCCATGAGGACTGCACAAATCCTTTCTGTGGTCCTTGTGGGAAGAAGACAAATAATATACTCACTGGGACTAGTACCCAGGCACTGGTCTCTGTCAAGGAGAAGAGCTCAGCTTTGTCTATGCCAACAGAAAAGAAGAAACCTCCCCTTACCACACTAAACCTCGGCGTGTCACCTCAAACATGCCCCTCGCCCTGGAGCACTAACAAAGCAACCTGGCCACACCTACCACCCCCCTCTACATATTCCCTGAAAGCAGACACTCCACTAATCCACTAATAGTCCAAAGATAAAACCTGCCACCGAGAAAAAACAAAGAAGAAGCCAACAAGTATCTCCACAAATGCTGAATTACAAATGCACCAATTCAAGAAACAAGAATAAGGAAGACAACATGACACCCCCAAAAGGAACACAACATTTCAATACCAGATTGTGAAGATGATGAGACAGAAAAAATGCCAGAAATGGAATTCAAAAAATTGATCATAGGATTACTTAGAAGTAATCAAAGCAAATGCATGCACTAATAAAATCCATACATGACATGAAACAAAATTTCTCCCATGAAAAGGGGATCTTAAAGAGAAATCAAAATGAAATCTTGGAAATGAAGAATTCAACAGGACAAATAAAAAATATGGTGGAAAACCTTAACAACTGAATCAGTGACACAGAAGAAAAAATATCCAACTAAGAAGACAAAGCATAGGAAATTATACAGTCAGACCAACCACAAGAAGAAGAAATTAGAAAACTAAAAAACACCATTTGGAATCTACAGGACATTATCAAACAACCCAACATACAGGTTCTAGGAGTTCCAGAAGACGTGGAAACAAAGAATGGATTAGAAGGCCTTTCTAGTGAAATATTAACAGAAAAGTCCCCTATTTGGAGAAAGGGACATCCAAGT